CTGAATGCAATCCTCCATCTATTTTTTATTAGCACATTTTTTACGTTTCTCTTGTCGAGATTACATTTTGAATTTTCCAATAGCAATCATCACGAAAATTAACAAAAACGATATGTTCATATAAATTTTATTTACACAACCGAGTATTAATTTACAAGTGATAATAAAGCTACGAAGCGCCCATCGTAACCCCTTGACCAGTCGGCCAGAGACGAAAAACTGGAGAGCAATTGAGACGTTCGGCAACATCTCAATTGAACTCGTTATTCGTTCGACCGGAATTTGAGATACAGTCGAATTATTCTTTCCCTCTGCCTTTCTTCCAGACAATCGTCTATCTCCTAATGGAATTGCCAGCCCCAATACGCGAGTGAGCGAAACTTAAGTAATAGTAAAACGTTACCGAAAGGAAACGGCAATGCCCTTATAACGTACTTCGTTATTTCTTTTTGCTTTGTCTTCTTTGCCGTAAAAATTGTAGTTCTTTGTAGTCTCAATCAAATAAAAAGATTTGACAGTTTTCATTTTTTGTTTTAAATTATGTTTTTTAGTATTGAATTATTTGTACATTGTATATATACAAATATAAGGTAAATTGGAAAATATTCCATTATATTTATAATAGGCAGGAATTTGTTTCTAATGAATTTTTAAAAATATTAACACGGTTTATTAAAGTCCCCTCTTAGACATATAGAAATATTATATGCTTATAGTTGATAAAATAATATGTTATTTAAAAATTTTATCTTAATGAATAATTTTAAAATGCAAATATTGAAGATATTTTTGCAGAATTGATGAAATTAGCAAAAACATTTTAAGATATTTTTGCATTATTGAAACAAGTGGCAAAATGTATAAAATAATTATGCAAATTATATAATAGAAGGCTTTTTAAAGTATACACCATAGCCATCGCAGCAGAGATGCATAAACAATGCAAAATATATCACACTTCCCTGCAACCTCAAAAATTCCATCAAGCCATGTCGCAAAAATGCCGCAATATATCTTCTA